GAAACCACATTGGTAACTCGATGTTATAAAACGTGCATTTGTGTATGATTCAACAAGTAGTAGAACAAGTCATATGAGTTGAAGTTTATCCATTCCTTTTACCTTCAGGATAAAAGCGATATATGTGGGCCCCTTGATGATTTAATGATGATACATGTAAGTGTTTGGCCAAGCCAGGACTGATTTGATTTGTTCAATCAGTCAGTCATCATGAATCGAAAATCGGGAAATAACAAATGGACTGAGAGACTGATTTATAATCCATGTCTCATTCCATATGATATCTATAATGGAGGAATATATGATCCCTTATCTAATGGACAAGTCATTGACAAGATCAGAGTTCAGTTAACACGTCAGAGTTCGATAGAAGCTTTTAAGAGCTACGATTGCTAGTCGGGTTTTGAAGTCATACCCAATAATAGTTTTAGACTTATCCAAGTGGGAGACTGTTGGATTAATGTCTAAGTCCATAACTATAATTGGTAAGACTTGACCCGACCCGGCATGGTCCATTTGGGTTGCATGGCATCGGAACAATTGGATAGACAAGATGAGGAAAAAAGGATACTAGTGATTTATATTTTTATATTATAAGTTCTAATATATTAATATGTAATCATATTATTTAATTAGTATTGATCAAGAATTAATTTATAATTAATTAAGTGATCAAAAGGAACTAATTAAATATGGACTCTTATATATATATATATATATATATATATATATATATATATATATTTATATATATATATGTGTGTGTGTGTGTGTGCAGTGGCGGACCTATGTGGAGAATTGGGGGTCCCGGGCCACTGCTCAATTTCTGGCTCGTAGTGTAAATGTTTTTTTTCTATTAGGTGCACCCGCTTGAAGTATGAGGGACAACCCTACTAAAATAGTCTGCGTCCGCCAATGTATGTGTGATGGGCCAAGTTCATTTAGGTTGAGCTAATCTATCATGGATAGTCCATGGAGTGTTTAACCCATGCATCATATGAAATGAAGGACCATGGATTTAACACTAATCTCCACACTATATAAAGATGTCCTTGGTTGGTGAAATGGGCACTAGTGTGTACACAAAAGGGCAAGGCCAATTTCACTAAAGAGAACCAAAGTATCATTATTCTCAAGGTTATTACAAGTGTTCATGGTGTTGTGTGAACCATTTGAGGTGTCACACTTGGGGTACTAGACACTCAAGCTTCATGAAGACATGCTACATCAACAAGGTATGTCTTCTAACTTGTTTTATTACCCAAGTATCAAAGATTGTATGCTAGATAGGGTAATACCTTGGAATATTCATATTTGCATGTATAATAGAGAAAATATAGATCCAAGGTATTTAGGGTTGCATGTACACCATAGGAGTGTTAGAATGCTCAAAACCCAACAATATTATGTTGATGGGACTATTGATCGTCATAAAGCTCATCTTGTAGCCCAAGGTTTCACTCAAATTCCGGGTTTTCATTTTTCTAATACCTTCAGTTCGGTGGTTAAAGCTACAACTGTTCGCGTTGTCTTATCTTTGGCTGTCACAAATAGGTGGCCTCTTCATCAGCTTGATCTTAAAAATGTTTTTTTAAATGGTGACCTTCATGAAACCGTTTATATGGAGCAACCTCCGGGTTATGTTGACTCTAAAAATCCAACACATGTTTGTCGTCTCAACAAAGCCTTGTATGGCCTTCGTCAATCCCCAAGAGCTTGGTTTCAGCGCCTGAGTTCTTTCTTAGTTGCTCAAGGTTTCAAGTGTAGTCAAGCTGATACATCTCTCTTTGTCTTTCATCAAGGATTGTGTCTCTTGTATCTCTTGGTTTACGTTGATGACATTATCTTGACTGGAAACCATGCTCCTTCCATCACTCGCGTAAAGAATGAGTTTGCTATAAAAGACTTGGGTAAATTGAACTATTTTCTTGGGCTTGAGGTTACCTATGACTCAGATGGTTTATTTCTACATCAGAGTAAATATGTTCATGATATTTTGAGCTGAGCTGGTCTTCTTGATGTGAAACCAATAGGTACACCGCTCGCTACAAATGATGTTTTCACCTCTACTGGCACTCCCTTTCATGATCCTACTCAGTATCGGTCTTTTGTTAGAGCTCTTCAATACTTGACTATCACTAGGCCCGATATTTCCTATGCGGTAAATCAAGCCAGTCAATTTCTTTATTCTCCTACGGACCAGCATTTTACCCTCGTCAAACGAATTTTACGATACATCAAAGGCACAATCAATCATGGTCTTCATTTCTCTATACCTACAAAACCTATGCTTATTGGTTATTCCGATGCAGACTGGGCTCGTTGTATTGAGACTAGGCATTACACCTATGGCTACATAATCTTTTTTGGAGGAAATCTTGTGTCTTGGAGTGCTAAAAAAACAACCTACTGTCTCTCAGCCCAGTTATGAATCTGAGTATCGGGCTATGGCAAATACTGTTGTGGAACTCATTTGACTCATCTGTTATGTGATTTAAATGCCTTACCTTCTGCTTGACCGACTTTACTTTGTGACAACCTTAGTGCTATTTTCTTAAGTCAAAATCTTGTTACGCATAAACGAGCCAAACATCTAGATATTGATCATCATTTTATTCGTGAACTTGTGTTGTCTGGTAAGTTGCATACCCAATTTGCTCCAACCAATCTTCAAGTGGCGGATATTTTCACCAAACCGTTACCTTGACCACTTTTTGAGAATTTTCGGCAGCAACTCAGAGAGTTCATCCACCACCTGTGCGCTTGAAGGGGGTATTGGAAATAAATCATCTATGTAAATTAGTTTATTTGTTTTCTATATTTACTTTTAGATACCTTGTATATATCCGTGTATTTTTGTATATAAGCGGGATTAGTAAATCAATAAAATTGTTGGGAACATTTATCCCATCTTATACTTTTTAATAGTTCGGTTCTGGGATTTCTCTTTAAGGTTCAGATTTTTTGTGCGACAATCCTTATAGTTATCAAATAAAATAAGAAATAAATACCCCTAGTTTATAATAAATTTATTTAATTTCTTTCTTCATAACTTATTAGAGTATGCAACCGACACATACAAGTTGACCATTTTGTCGGTTAGTTATTTACAATTGCAACTGGTCAATATTTTGTCGTTAGTTATTTACAAAATCTTTTAATACAAGTTTGACCATTTTAATATATTTCTTTCTTTCTCCGAGTACGTCTATGTATTCACATTTGTTCAATATTTGGTCAAAGCTTTCCCATAATAAATGATAGAAGTGATCATTTATATTATGTTTTATCTCTAATTAAATAAAATATGTAAAATTTAACTAAAACGATGACAATAGCAGAAGACTAGCAGCATCATATAAGTCAATGATGTCTACTTTTTGAATTCATATATACCAAGACTCCTTCAATAATGTCATGATCATGATGACTATTTTTTCTTATGGACCAAGTCTAAATCTAATAATTGTCATCAACTGGCACTTCCTTCGGATTTTCTGAAAAACAAGTTAACATCAAACTGTTACTTATTTTCTACAATTACTTCACTAAATAATTCAAACATGGATTCATACTCATTCATCCGATCATTGTAACGATATTGTATTACCAATTTATTATGGAAACCGATCTTCTTCGGGACTATCTATAAACCTCACCAATGAAAATATCGAATCCTTGTTGTATTTTTGTTTGCAAATTTTTGATTTGGAAGTCGAAGGCCAGTACATAGAGCCTCACTTCATGAATGGAGGATTCATCTATGTCGCTTTTTTACTCAACTTACTAATAATTTTGATCTCATTTGCAACGTATCCCTTCAAATTTGTTGTCTTTCATATAGATCGAAAGTAATTTTCTGACTTCATAACACAATTCTTGTCGGTGTGAATACATAGGCTTAATATATGGTTGTAATTCTTGTTTCTTTTGCACCTTAAAATATGTTGTCTATCATATAGATAGAATATGATAGAAAGTATTTTTTTCGGTTTTGTTTGTGTTCATGGGCATATCTTTACATCTTTCTTTTCAGTTCTTTTTGTGATCTTGGACATCTCTTAACATCTTTCTTTTCATATATTGATTCATGTTGAGGGTGTTGGATGGTGACGCTTTGGATTTGGAAAAAAAAAGTGGGCATATTTTCATATCGTTGCATATAATCTTGAGAAGTATAATATTGCATATTATATTTCAGTGGATATATTGATTTTACAATAGCTGTTGAATTAAAATATGACCAATTGGGAATGTGGTATTATATATATTAACGTTGAACTTTTTTAGATTGTATGACTTTAGAGTAACATCATATTTATATGCACCATGATGGCTAATATAATGTCTTTTTCCTTTCAAACATCTATAAAGAAGACATTTTCTTAAAAAGAAACTATATTAGCCACATCATGCACATAAACTTGATGCTCCCTAAGTTGAAGTGGAGTAACTTCAATTATTTATGAGAAGCTCATGTAGGAAGGGAATTGGATGCACATCTATATTTATAAAGGGATAAACACCCAACTTTTGTTTTCACTACCGATGTGGGACACAAAGATGGGGTGGAAAGGAAGTTAGCCATTCTACATTGTGGGGACCATCAACTATAAATTTAGGGTTTTTGGTTTTGAATTTTATAACTATAAAGGAGAATTGTATACGTTTTAAAGTTTTTCAAACCAATCCCAAAATCTATCAACAACAAGGCACTTCTTCCAAATTTCATACGTTTTATTATTGCAACAATCACTCTATAACAACAATTGTGTCCGATTTAAAATAAGCTTTAAAATAAGCTTTCTGAACCAAAACACAAAACCATTGACTAAATTGCACTTTTTGGCCCAATTTAGGACCCATCCACAGCTATCTTTTGGTAAGCATATAATCTATTCAAAATATTTTCTTCAGTTAATATGTAAATCAGATACACAACAGTCAGTATAAATCAGATACACAACAATCTATTAATTTAATACATAACATAAAAGTAAATCAGATACACAACAGTCTGCTAGTTTAATACATAACATAAAAGCTCAGCATCTAGCATCCACAACGGGCCCATACACATTGAAATTGAAACTCTTATAGTCTCATAAACTAAACAAAAAGAAGGGAAAAGTAATAGTACTTAAACCTTAAAAGCATAAAGCCATGGCATCCTCTAAATTATGTAAAATAATAATTAGGCTACTCCTCATAGCTATTATCATTATTCTTATAATTCACTTGCTAACAAGTTTTTCATCATTCATGTATGTATTCATGTTTAAAAATTACACATATATATATATAAATATGCCTACACCTCTCATATCATGTGAGAATAAAATAAACATTCAAAATCTTAAATGGAAGCCATTGAAGGATTATAGCCATTCCTATGTAACTTTTGCCATCTCCATGCAACCCTCAAACTCTTTTCAAGATCCGTATATTGTGCCGACCAATTAAGCTCACGGAGGATCTTTGACGGGTCACTAAATACTTCCGCATAGTCACCGGGTCGCCTTGGAAGGTAGTCTACTTTAATTGATGCACCCGTTGCCTTTTTACAAGCTTCCACAAATTCTTTGACTGATCTTCCTGTTAAAAAGAGTAAAAAAGAAGGATTAGGTCGTGTTTGGTTTAATCGATTCCGGTGGAATGACGGAATTGGAATTCGCGATTCCATTCCGTGTACGGATGGAATTCAATTCGGACGGATTTCATGTTTGATGGATCGTCGTAGGGTGTGTTTGGTTCATGGATTCGGGCGGAAGACGACGGAATTTGAATTCGAGATTCCATTCCACGACCGCGTGAGAATTTACAATTTCTTTGTGTTTTAGTTCCTTTGATCAATGACATTCCTTTCAAAAACGTTATGCATACCGAGCTTTATGTTTATTTACAAAAATACCCTTTTCACAAAAATATATGGAACAACTTTCTTTTTTTAGAACGTTCTAGAAAAAAGTTTCGATAAAAAATACTAAATCGCCTAATTTCTTTTTTGAATTATGGACTTAATGAGAATATGACTTAATCTTGTAAGCTATATATACGTATTTCTTTTTCACTTAATACAGAAAGACTAACTTAATGAAAAAATTCAGGAAAATGAGTTTTTTCCCACTAAAAATCTTTTAACATCGTTTTATCAAGATAGCACTTCATGAGACCCATGCCAATGGGAAAAAAGATTGAAATTTTTTTGTAACCTCTCACATGTGCAAAAGACGTAAATGCCCTCCTCCAAACCATACCACCTTAAAGATAATGAATGAAAAAATCGAGATGCATACCTCTTCCTGTCCCCACATTGTAAATTCCAACGTGTCCTGGTTTTGCTTTATTAAGTGCTTTAACATGAGCATCAACTAAATCAGTCACATCAATGTAATCCCTTATACAAGTTCCATCAGGGGTTTTATAGTCCGTTCCTCGAACCTGTATCACATAGGTCATAAGTCAACAAGTCAAACATACTAAACAAGATCATATACATGTAAGGGTTTCTTTTTGACTTAATGCAGAAAGAACAACTTAATAGAGAAAATTATGGATAAAAAAATAAAAACTTTCCCCATCAAGTCCTAACTTTTTACAAAATTACCCTCATTTACTTTTTCCTTCCATTTCCCAATTGTGCCATCATCTTCTTAGATAATTTTAAGCATCATTTATTCATACAACACTTAATATAAATTGATAACAAAGATGTGAGTTTTCTTTGCTATTTAATCAAATATAGAGTATATTACATATTTGGTCCCTGAGCATAGTCGGTTTTTGCAAATTTGGTCCCAAAATGTTTTCACTTGCAATTTTTGTGATTCTTTTGAGGTTCTTGTAACGTTTTTTATTTCTATTCCAAGTAAAATGACTATTTCTGCCCCTGAGTATAGCTTATTTTTGCGATTTTGGTCCGAAAAGTATTAACTTTACATGGACTGGGCCAAAAATGTAGCAAAAACCTCAAATAAAGAGAAAATTGAAAATGATAAAAAAAAAAAAATGTAATTAACTCTAGAACATAACTATAAAGTTTGCATAAAATTCATTAAAAAAAAAAAAGGAAAAAAGAAAATGACCTTGAGGCCATTGGTGATTCCACGAGCTGCATCAAAGCATGCACCCGATATTCTTCCATGTTCACGGAGTTCTGGCCTTGGTGCTTCTCCTAATCTTCCCTCCGGATCAGAACCAATCACATTGAAGTATCTGAAATTTATTTTTATTTTTTTGAAAAATTAAAAAACAAGAAAATATGGACATGACACCTTGTATTGCGTTTGAGATGCATTGGACTAAGACTAGGGGTAATACTGTCAATGAGACAACAATTGCAATTTTTTGCCCTGTCCAAAAGATTGAACAAGGACTTGCTCTTGGTTCTCTCCTATGTGAAAAAGACCAAAATGCCCTTGTATTGTGTTTGATATGCATTGGACTAAGAATAGGGCTAATAATGTCAATCGGACGAAAAATGCAGCTTTTGCCCCATCCAAAAGATTAAACATGTACTTGCTCTTGGTTCTCTCCATGTGCAAATGACCAAAATGCCCTTGTATTGTGTTTGACATGCATTGGACTCAGAATAGGGCTAATAATGCCAATCGGACTAAAAATGCAGCTTTTTGCCCCATCCAAAAGTTTAACATGGACTTGCTCTTGGTTCTCTACTATGTGCAAAAGACCAAAATGCCCTTGTACTGCATTTGACATGCATTGAGCCAAGACTAGGGCTAATAATGTCAATAGGACAAAAATTGCAACTTTTTGTCCTGTCCAAAAGATTGAACAAAGACTTGCTCTTGGTTCTTTCCTATGTGCAAAAGACCAAAATGCCCTTGTACTACATTTGACATGCATTGGACTAAGAATAGGGCTAATAATGTCAATCGAACAAAAAATGCAGCTTTTTTGCCCCATCCAAAAAATTAAACATTAACTTGCTCTTGGTTCTCTCCTATAGGAAAAAGACCAAAATGCCCTCAAACACGTAAAATACCAACCTTAGAATCATCACCGCCATATCCGAGTTTTTATGGAAATCCAAGATAATATCTTCCGCCATCTTCTTGGCTTTTCCATAAGGATTAATCGGAAGCTGGAATATGCAACAAAAAGATATCATTTACACAAGTTTATAAGGGGCCTTTTATTATTGCATATCAAATTTATTAATTTAAAAATAAAATTTGGTAACTTAAAATGCCCTTTTTTTGTTTTTGTCAAGGGAAATTACCTGGGGAGTTTCTTCTGTAATTGGCATCTTTTCAGGCTCTCCATATGTTGCACAAGTACTAGAGTATATTAGTGTGTTCACATTGTGTGCTGACATGGCCTCCATCACCCCAAGTGTATTTGATGTAATATTGTGATAATACCTGAAATATTAAAAAAATTTAAATAAAATACTTCTAAAAGCAAGTTAAGCCATGGCATAACATTATTAGCATCCTAGGGATAGGATAAGACATGACAACACAGAATAAATTGTACTGTGTTTGACATGCATCTGACTGGAACTAAGTCCAAGACTGATGTCAATGGGACAAAAATTGTCACACCCAAAAAGGTCTGTGTAAAAGACATGAATGCCCTTCTTGTCATCATCATTGAAAATAGCCCTAGAAAGTTTTTCTTGTTCTAAGGCTATTTTCAATGATGAAGATGATAAGGGCAATTATGTCTTTTACACCTTTTTTGGTAGGACAAAATTTTGCAAATTTATCGTCATTGACATTACTCCTAGTCAAACGCACATCAAATACAGTAAAACCTGTTTTGTCCTTTTGTCCTTATCTGTAAATTTCCCTAATACCCTCCAAAAACCAAGTACTTAGGAGTGGGTCCCACAATACTAACTAACAATTTTTAGGATGTGATGTCATAATTCGATTGAAATAACACTTACTTTAGGGGATCAAGGGTACTCTCTCCAACATATGCAACTGCAGCAAAATGCATCACTGCATCAAATGCATTTTCAGCAAAGATTTTGTTCACCTAAACTCTTTTGATCAAGGAAACAAAAAATAAACATTATTAACATTTATTCTTACATGCAGGGACATTTTGGTAATTTGGTTATAAGTTTAAATTTCAAAAAGGATACGGCTTTTGGATCTCCCAAATCAGCATAAATGAATTGAAGTCTCCCAGGTTCTGGGAAGAGATCTTGAAGAACTTTGATAGCTCCTAGGTTTCCACGAGAGAGATTATCCTATCACACACCAAAATTTAACAGTATAAAGTTTCGATTTTTTTAATGACTTAATCTGAAAAACTATATATGGATGTTTCTTTTTTAATAAATCAAGAAAGAAAGTTTTCCCTTATTAAGTGACAACTTTTTTATAGATTTGTGTTATTTTCTTGAATATTTTTTAAACATCATTTATCAAAACAATTAGAAATAGATTAAAATAGAAAAAATACCACTATAGTGACACGATGATTATCTTTTAGAAGGCGTAGGGCTGCATGTGAACCAATATAACCAGCACCTCCAGTTACTAACACATGAGTGACACCAGTTTCATGTTGAGAAAACTTCAAATCAAAAACACAAAAAAAAAAAAAATAATAATAATCAGATATTTAATGTAGAATTCAATAGTGTAACAAATAAGATCCAACAACCCCTAGCAAATATCAATAATACCTTCAAATAGAAAACCTATAAAGGAACATCATCAACTAATTTGTTGAATCTTTCCTAAAAGGGGAATTTTAGACAACTTATGGGAATCCCAAAATAGAAAGTTTTGCAAATTTTGTAGGGATTTAAAGAAAAGAAAGAGGCATAATTGAATAAAAGGAATACATACAGGACTAGGGGTGTTGAAAGATGGGGATTGTTTAAGCATAAGAATGCATATTGCAGTAAGTCCTGCAGCTAAAAGGATCTTTCCTACAACACCATTTTTCTTCTTTGGGTCCACATAATCCATGCCTACAATCACAAAAGGAAACAGTTTCAAATCGATGAAGTTTGTTTTAATCTTGTAGAACGAGAACGAAATCTGTTTCTGAGCATATAACAGAAGCTAATAAATCTTGGAAGATAGTGAAATGAAGGTTTTATGAGATGATTAATGGAGTAAATTAGTGAAAAGATATTAATATTACCTCCGAGAGGATGAGATCGGGTAGGCCTGGGTTGAGTTCTTGATCTGCTAGGGTTTAGCATTTGTTGAAGAATCTCGCTACGAAATATGCAATTACAGACGAAGATGAATCTGCTACTAGTCATGGAAACAAGACTTCTGTTATTCATTAAAGAAAAAGGAGATTCAACAAAAAAACAAACAAACGAGGGACCTTAAAGGTACGAATAATTATTGTCGACAACAGAAACTGGCCCCTCTTGCTATCAATTCGCTATACACAATTCAAAATTCAAACAAACCATCTCGAAAACAGGGAAATTTTGGAATTTTAAAAACCCATCACAGCTCAATCGCCGACAAAATTCAAACAAACAATAAGAATTCTCTTATTCTCGATCAATTCGATATACAAAACCAAAATTCAAACACGCGGATTGGAGGAATCGAAAAAGCAACGTATGTAGACGATCCACGGAGCTAGGAAATGGAGTAAAACAGCAGTACATGAGGTTAAAACTTAAAACCGTTACCTGAAAATGTAAGCATTTAAAGCAGCAGGGTATGTGAAAGATAATCAAACAAGATCTGTGAAAGGAGCAGAATCGAGGGTTAGGAGGCGAAGTACGACTTTACAACGCCAATGAATGTAGTGATATGATATAGTACGAATTGGGTTTTGATTGATTAAAATTTGGGAAAAGGGAAACGGGTAAAGATAATCAAGAACAAAAACGTAAGAAGGAGAAATGTAGAGAAGACGAAAAGAAGAAAAGGGAGGTGGTGGAAGTAAGTATCGGACTTAGTCTTCCTCACCTTCTCGTCGTCTGTCACGTTTTCAATGGAGGAATAGGAGTTGGGTATGCGGAGAATTCCTCGTTTGTGATGCCATGGTCACGTAAATGGTGGGGTAAGAGGTGTGGGCGCCATGGGAGGGAGGGAGGAACACGTAGGTTTACTAGACAATTGATTACCCTGTTTTCTGCTTTAGAAAAAGCTTTAACTTTTAGTGTTTTGGACATGGGTTTCAACATTTTATTGGTATTTATTGGTGTGAGATGTAACAATATACGTATTATATTGTGGGTTTCTCTTTTAGATATTTTTGTTATTAAATTGAATATTTATAATTTTATATCTTCATATGAATGTGTGAAGTAACATGCAAAATCATGAATATAATTTTATTTAAGTCCTAACATTGTAATTTTAAAAAAGTATTAAGATTTTTTTAAAATAAAATATTCCCCCTTGTAACATTGTAATTTTTTTATTAATGTATATAAAAGTCAATTTAATAATAATAATAATAATAATAATAATAATAATAATATTATTATTATTTATTTGGTATTTGGATATGATTATAATAATTTGCTATACTTTTTAAAATAGTATATATTATTAGAAAAATAAAAATAGGATATCATTAAGAAACAAAAACAAAATATTGTAGTATTTTTATATTTAACCCCAAATATTGTTCATACGATTATTAACGAAGTAAAACCTTACACCTGTCGACTTTTATTAGTTTAGGAAAAAACTTCTGCCATATAGTATTTTACAAACCATGTGCACAGCGAGGATAAACTTCACATAGGTACAAGGTTATGGAGGGAATAGTATCACTTTCTAATGAAATTGAGTATTCCGTAATAATTATCATAAAAATATGGTTTTTTATATGGTTGTATGTCACACCTAATAAGTGTTGTCACACTTAATTTAAAAGGTTTAAAAAAAATAAAAAAATAAAAATACATTTTAAAAAAAAAAAAATACAACCATTCAACGGTTAATTGGAATGACCATAGAAAGAGAGAAACGCCCCTTGGAGTATCACAATGCGGTCTCTATTGCACCAAAACCAAAGGGAGGGGGCGGTATTCTAAGCTGATGTGGCAAGAGAGTGCACCATTTACCGTATCCACTCCCTCAAGCCTAAATACCCCAAATTGTTTTGTTTCAGTGTACAATTTTGTGAGTAGATTATTGTTTATATACCCCATACTTTATGTAACTAAGCTAGGTGTATAGTAATATTATTTTTTTAATAAAATTATTATTATCATCATATCGTACATACTTATAAAACTAACATTTTTTTTTTGAATCTCATGCATTTGAAACCCTTTTTATTAACTTACTCAAACCACATTTATTTGAAACTCCCTTTTTTAACTAATACAATTCAAAAGTTTTCTTAATTATGATTTAACCCTCAAAAGTTTTATAATTTATATTATGTTTAATTAACATTTAGTGAAAAGTTTACTATAAAAAAATCAATCTTTTGGAAAGACATGCATACACATCATATACAAATTTCAAAAAGAAAACAAACTTAAAGATTTTTGTGTTTAGTTGAGGTCTTATGATCACTTTTGGAGATATGTTATTATATTAAAGCTTTTAATTTGTAAGTTTGTTATACTAATTCGTTTTTATATTTTCTTCGTTTTTGGATTATTGGAATATAGTCATTGTATATTGTGGTTTAATCGTTAATATATTGATCATATGTTATATAGGGTGATGTCGAAAATATTTAATTAAATACTTTAAATATTTTTTTTTTGTTTTGTAATTATACCGTTTCAAAAAACCTCACAGATGGTCCCTATGGTTTCAAAACTTTTAATCTTTAGTCCTTCCGTCTAACACCGTCAGTTTTTCTACCATTAAGTAAAGGGCATTTTCATCATTTCAATACCTAAGGACCATTTATGAGGTTTTCTATTATTTTTTTTGAAAAAAAAGAAAAAAAATGAAATTTAAAAGGGTCTCATCCTCTCTCTCTCTCTCTCTCTCTCTCTCTCTCTCTCTCTCTCTCTCTCTCTCTCTCTCTCTCTCTCAATGGCTTTTTCTCCAAAATTTATGTCAACAAATCCATTTAAAATCAACAAAAATTAAATAAAACATTGGAAAATTTCAATGGAATCAGAAACCAGATGAACGATTGGAATTAAGAAAGAATCATGAAATGAACTACAGATCAACCATCGTTCCCTCCATATTTTTTTGGTCTTTAAAGAAACTCAAACTCCACATCCAAATCGGTAATGTAGAAGCAAATGTAGGCTTGCATCTGATTTATGAGGTCCGCAAACATCTTGTCTCTGTCAAATCTCCAACTCTCAAGTTTGAGATCCAATGGTTGATCATGCATTTTTCCCTCCGATTTCTCCAATCTAAAATACGTAATTGTTTGGATCTGTTTGGACAACAAGCTTCAAGAATATCTCCAGCCTTTTATGGTTTGCGGATTTCATGAACAAAACCCACCACATCACCACTGTGTTTCACTCCTCTGATTTTGCCTTTAGTTTACACCATCTGGAAGATAAAAATCTCTACTTGTTATCAATTTGGATAAAAATAACTGATAAAACTATAGTTTGGTACACCAATGGAGGCACCCCAACACCAGTTAGATCAAAAGTAGAGCTCACCTCCATCACAATATTTCAGTAACGAGGAGATAACTAGAAACAACAAGTGGGTAATTTTTGTCGATCCCATGGAGGGCACCACCGGTGATTGATTTAATTCAAAGAAGGAAATCGGAGGCGGAGGCAGCGATTGGTGACTCTCGTCGCCGACAGTGGTGGTGAGATGCTCCGGTGGCTTCTTTTTTCAATTTCATTTTTTTCTTTTTTTTCAAAAAAAATAGAAAACCTCATAAATGGTCTCTAGGTATTGAAATGATGAAAATGCCCCTCACTTAACGGTAGAAAACTGACGGTGTTAGACGGAAGGACTAAACATTAAAAGTTTTGAAACCATAGGGACCATCTGTGAGGTTTTTTGAACTTAAGAACTAAAGTTGATATTTTTGAAAACCACAGGACCATTTTTGAAGTTTTGTCTTAATTAAAACTCATACTTATGTTATACTTTCCATCTCTCTCTCTCTCTCTCTCTCTCTATATATATATATATATATATATATATATATATATATATATATATATATATATATATATATATATATATATATATATATAATAGAGGTTAAAACACTTCAATCAAATTTCATTTAAAATCTAATATTTCAAATGTTTTTTAATAACGATTGTAAAAATTTTAATATGTGTTACTTATTTGACTGATTAATAAAAATACTAATGTTTTAAAACTCCTAACTTTTAAACTTATATTATTTAATTTGTTAGTTAACTAAAATATTTTCCCTATATAAATATAACATTTTTATGTTTGGTTACTCATATTTGTTTATGTACTTAGAAAACAAGGTGTACATAGAATAACTACTTCAATTTCACATAGAAATCGATACCACTAGAGAGTTATGTTGTCTTTAACCGGTGGTAGGAGATCCACATACCATTTTTAATTATTTATATTAATGCTTAGTAATATCTCTTTTGTATTCCTATTCACCTTAATTTTTTAGATACAAATTAAGGAAGAGGATTCTCGGCGCACCAACATAAAGTCAAACGTACGCCTTGCAAAATATGTAATTAAAACTAAATATCATATTTGCTAATCGACTTATTTTAAAACTTTTGATGACATTTATGTATAATGATATATTTTGAATGACTTCATTCTTAATTTCAATGTTTAATATTTGAAAGTTTATATATGAAACCTTGGATGTTTTTGTGTAATATAAATAGTGTAATACAAAGTTTATTAGTTCAATATTGTTTATTAATAGCTCATTCAAAACAACTTATTTCTTATTTTATCCAAAAAACATTATCGAACATAAGAAAAGTAGATTATATTAACGTTATACAAAAACTTATTATATATATATATTGGATATTATAAAAGTAAAAGTAAAGTTTATAAGGTATGACCTATATTAGATAGTATCAAAATATAAGTTGATGAATTTTTATGTTATTTGATAATTCGGCTAATGCCCAAAACATGACTAAAAACGTAAATTTCAACATATTTCTATTTTTTTTCCATAATTATTTTAACCACTTAAATTCATTCTTGCACAATAAAAACGTAAATTTCAACATATTTCTATTTTTTTCCATAATTATTTTAACCACTTAATTCATTCTTGCGCAACGTGCGAGGTTATGCCTAGTTCTTCAATAAAATTGTTATCAAGTTAGTTAAAACATTTTTTAACGTCTTAATAAAATTAATTGTAACCAAACCAAATAATATTTATTTTAACTATTTTAGATTATTATGTTTTGGTTTATTAAACCAAATATATTAAGCAACATATTAAAATTTTATATTATTGTTATTTGTTTGTTTAAGTTGTTCTCTAATTAAACAATAAATTTGACAACCAAGTATGATTTGATATAGACATGAAACTATATAATGTCATCGGATAATACCCTGTACGCAAAGGGCGAGGGGTTGATGTGGCAATGTCACCTGTATGTGAACACCACCCCCTACGGTGATAGGTGATACATAAGTAACGGCAATGTGTGTCGATATTGTGTGCAGTAAATACATAGATCTTGTATAACATTTAATATCAAATAAAGAATCTCTTTAGTTTACCTATAGATGTAGCTTTATCAAACAGATCAAGTGAACCATGTTAAATTTCATTGTGTTATTGTTTAATCTTCTTAGAATAACCTTCTATATCATTGTTATTTTGTTTGTCGAGATTGTATCTTAATACCCAACAATTAGTATCATAGTTATAATTGAAGAAGGGAAGATCAAGATCAATAAATTTGAAGACCATGATTTTGGATTTTAGAGGATGCGGATTGAATATTATCTCTACTAAGAAAAAGTACATCTTCCCTTGAGTGAAAGAAAACCACAAGGCATGAAAAAGAAGGATTGAGATATTTTAGATCGACTAGCCCTTAGTGTGGCCAGGTTGTCGTTGGCAAAGAACATTTCATATAAATTATCAACGAGGGAAATCGATAGCCTTTAAGATAAAAGGCTAACTCATGTCCTGGTTAGGACAACTAGCTTATTGCTCTACTGCCTCCCTAATAAGCATATGGATTGATAAAGGCGTTATCTAACATGTATAAGATACCTTCAG